CCCATGTAAAAATAAGTGAGAAGATGTTTGAAGAGGTTCAGGCTATGTCTGACCAATAGTTCATACTAGATAAATGTTAGATTTATAAAAGAAAATTAGAGGAAATCATAAATTCCTCTTCCTAACGAATTAATCCAAGAGATGTGTTTCTAATGATGGTCTAGCTGACTGTGGTAGAGGGTCTATTATTGTTTCTCCACTTTCAATTCTGAAAGAAAGTCAAGAAGGAAGTTGATTGGATCAAGTTTCAAAAAGAGCCCAGCAGAAGCAGTGAACTTGGATGTTTGAAATAAGTGGGGTTCTGAACAACCTATGTTAACAGGCTCCGTGGGGAGGGCTAATGGAGCTCAGGGCTGCTTTTACAAAATGCAGGCTTCATCTAACTGTCTTCCATTCACTAGAGAAAGGTGCCCAAACACAGGCGATCTAACCAGCAACCTCAGGTGGGAATCATGGGCACGATTTGTTAGCTCCCTGGGCAGTAACAGTTATTTCCCCAGAGCTCAGCACTTGACTGCAAAGCAGGCGTCTCTCACATCCTCTTTTCTTCACCTTCCATTCCCTGTCACCTTCATTGTCACCTGGGCAGAACAAACCACATCACTGAGCTGAGCCATCCCTCCACCCTAACTCACCTTTTTCAGCTTTACCACGCCTTCCTGTGTTTCGTAGTCCGTGGTGATTTCAAAGAGCTCCATACCGTCTCCATCAACGATGTTGTATGTGACTAAGCCGTTTTCTCCAATGTCTGGGTCTTTAGCCTTCACTCTGCCTACTTCCTCTCCGGGGACAGCTGCTTCGGATACAGACATCTGGTATACGCCTAGAGGTAGAAGAAGACATCTACTCTTATTTTCCTTTTTATTTGGCAGCTGTAAGACTTCAGATTTCATTGAATCCCAATAAATTTCTCAAAGGGGTTTGAAATTGAACTTTCTATTGATTGAAAACATGAAAGAAGTGTATGGCTGGGAAGAAGGTCCCAGATGGCCTGCTTGCCAGAAGAATGCTCTCTACAAAGGATGATAAAACAATACTGGGGTCCCGGGTGAGATGCTGAGGTCACCTGCCACGTGTGAGGCAGGAGAGGCAAGCTCAGTTACATTTCTCAACAGAGGATGGTGGAGAACCATACATGATTTCAAATAGCTCAGTCTTCTTTCAAGTGTCTCGAAGGACCAGTTATGGCACTGCCAATTGCCCAGAAAAAAAATAAACTAAAATACCCTTCACTATTTAAAAGACATTGATAGCTCCCTATTTATTTTAAAATCAAATGTGAATTTTAACTTTCAAGGTCAGGACACTTTGAGCTCAGAATGTGGCTTGCCTCTTACTTTTGCTCTTCTGCCACCAACTGAAGCACTACCTTCTCTGAAAAGTTTTCCCACAGTGTGGCCCTTCCAAAGATATTGATTCAACATTTCTTGGAAAGCTAATATGTGCCAGGCACTGTTCCATTCTGCACAAACTCAGTGGCAAGAGTCAAGATTTCTCCCTTGAGGAGATACACCAAAGAGAACAAAAATCCACAAATAGGTACACACTAATGTCATTGCACTGCCAGGGTTTAGGGTGATGAGTGGGTTGTGGTTATGTGTGTATAATTTATGCAAGGACAAGTGTGTATRTGTGAATGGGTAAGGGAGTTGTGCGAGTGGGTGTGAAAGTGTGTGGTTGTGTGTTTGAATATGTGGTGAGTGTGTGATGAATGTGTGACATATATTCATGTAAGTGTGTTTGTGTATGTGTATGAATGTGAGTGAACACACAAGTGTAAGATAAATMTGTATGGGCGAGAAGGAGAAAGAGATTGATTTTGAAGAATGAGGCCAAATATGTTTAGAGGAAGATATCTAATCTCAACCAAAGGGACTGAGCAGCAGTGACAGTGGAGACACTTAAAGCCAATGGCAGCACCCTGATATATACACATTAGCTAGAAAGCTGGTGAGACAAGAGGGCCTTCTGTTAGGAGATGATGGTATGCAGGTAGGTTGTGGCTTAGTTGTGTAAAAAAGGCAGTGGAAGGCACATGAGTTAAATTCTTTATGTTTTATTTTCCTCTTTCATAGTTTCCTACAATACTCTGTATTTATATTATTTGGCTTTGGATATTTTCAATTCAGAACCATATTCAATTTCATCTCATGTGCCTTTCATGTTAAAGGCACGGTGGGAATTTCTATAGATAATCATCAACATAGGGAAAGGCTTAGAAAACCTGGGATAAGTTGAGTTCCTACAAATCTCATTCAAGTTCATGACCATGAAACTGGTGCAGCTGGTACAGCTACACTGTAACTTTACTATAGGATTCTCTATGAGCAAGAACAATAACAGCTATGCATTAATAATCCCATGTGCCCTACTCCTTCCAGCACATCAAACAATATTATAGTGTGGATAATGAAGCATGTGGCTTTTAAAATGTTATATGGGCCTTAATCTTGTTGTTGATGCTGAATGTTGTACCTAACCAGGCAAAGCAGTTTTTCCCCATTTGAGAGACCCTATGAGAACTGATGGTTGCCTCTAATCTTCCACCTCAATGTTTCCATTTTCTAGACTGTTCTTTGGATTGCTTTGAGTAACCATGGTGCCTCTCTGGGGCCACATTTGGTTATCTTTTTTATTCTTCCATTTTCAGTGCCATCTCACTGGTAATAAATTTATGGATTTCTCAAAAAAGAGATACCATTGTGGTGAACCCCACTCCCTAGGACTAGCATCRTGATCCCACTCTACCCTTGTATTCACCTCCATATACGTGAGGGATTTGTGTTCAAAGTTTGACTTTGATACCGTCCTTTGGCAACATATGCCACTTTTGATGGAAGCCAGTTTTATCTGTGAAATGTGGGGGGTTTTTTTGCAGGGATTTATAATATTAATGACTAATCATTAAATAATAGAAAAGGTGGTTGTTATAATCACAATTATTAATCACAAACWTCCAGAATCATATTTTTAATTCCCTCAGCAATTCTATAAACTTTTTAGAACAACCCAGATAACAGTAGCTGACATTCGTTTTGTCATTTTAAGACTTTAYACTAGCTTTTGTAGTCCTAACTGTAATCCTACTAATTAGATACTATGGAAGATCACATTTTCACCAAGAGGTCAAGAAATAATTCCGATCCCACACACTGTTGAACACGACTTTGATGGATCTCCTATGGAAAGGTGTGGTCCATAGCAACTCCACTCCACTTGTGGTAGCCTTCTGACCACACTGGAAAGGATGCGATGTGACTTCAAGAGGCTAGGTCACAAGAGGCAATGCAGTTTCTGTCTGGTGACCTTGGGGCTCTTGTCTTTGGGACCCAGCCACCGAAAGTTTACAGGGAGAGGAGCCAAAAATCAATATGGGCCCACTAGACATGTGAGAAAGCTAGGTTGGAAGTGGATCTTCCAGCCTCAGTGGGGCTGAGCGCAGCTGATACTGTGGAAAACACGGAAGAGCCGTGTCCTATAAGCCTTGTCCAAATTACAGACTCATGATAAAACAAACAAACAAAAAAACTCATAGGCAGTTTGTTACATAGTAACGAATGGTTGATTTAGATATTATCATATCCAGGTTAGTAATAAGAATATTAAAACAGAGGAAGGTTACATACTAGATCACAGTGCTAGTACATAATAGATAAAATCCCTAGCAAAACAAGTCATAGAAATTGTCACACCTTCTCTTTGTCCCACTATCTTTATTCCATTGAAGTTTTGTGGTTGTTGTCATCTTGCCTTTGCCTTCTGCAATAATGACATAAAGAGCTCCTAGTTTTCTGCATTTTCCTTTTCACAAGCTGAGTAAAGCAGGAACGGGTCAATATAAATGGGGGGGGGGGCTGCTCGTGGTGGCAATGCTGAACAGTGAAGCCAAGCCCACCTACTTACTCTGCGGAAACTTTGGTGGGTTGTCATTGACATCAGTCAGTGTGATCGTCACTTTGGTTGTCCCTGAGAGTCCGCCCATGTGTCCACCCATGTCCTTGGCCTGGATCACCACGTGATACTCCTCCTTGGCCTCCCTGTCCATGTTGGGAAGGGCTGTTCTGATGATACCTGGGCAGGTGAGCAGGAAACATCACAGATACTCATTTATAACATTACAGCAATGAAATGTTTTAAGCACCGGATGAGTAAAACAACCTGTTTTCTGAAAGAAAAGTCATTTTAACATGATAATTGTAACTGAAAGTAACCACACCTGAAGCATCAGTGTCTTTTCAAGAAAATCATGAAGATTATGTAAACTGCATTAATTTTCATTTTGTTTGCTTCACTGTGCATGCAAATAATAACCTCATTTTTCTCATATGCAAAAATTCTGAAGTTTGAGTTCCCCGCTTGCATGGCTGTCCATGGCTAAACCCATATCTTTGAACTTCTAGCAGGATTTTTGGAAATCTATCTCTACATGTAATCATTAGAAACATTTTTATTGCTCATATTCAATTTAAAGTGGGAGGCATATATTTCATGGAATACTGTAAAATGCTAATATTAATTTTTTGAAAGAGCAAAACAAATGATTTAGGAATATATGCAATGCTTATACAAATATGTACTGTCTACTATCACTGACAACAATAATAAATTCATGATTGAATTCATCATAATCCCTGGATGCTGGAACATGATTGGCATGACCACTCTGCACTTCAATCTCAAGGAGGATGTGCAATGTTTTTCTCTCTGCAGATAAGGTAGTACGTGTCCTAAAAGTATAAAAAGAGCACTGAAGAAACTCAGTCCTGATCTGTCTCTTCCTCCCCAACACTTTTCTGTTTCTGAGCAATACCCTAGAACTCATTGGTTCTCATTTTTTTTTCCTTATCTGTTAAAAAATTTGGCAGGTTCCAACCAGTAGTTATTAGTGCATCCCTGAGACAAAGAAGGCTCCAATTTTAAACATGTCGACAATCTAGATGAAGTCCCATATGTATTTTTGGTTAACCTGGAAAGGGTTATRAGAAATGCCTTTGAGAAATCATAGCAACTAACTGCATAAATCATATTCTGAGCAAATAAATGAATACATAGGTAAAAGGAAATTATACCAAGTAAATGAACGATATCTGGTAGGCTATGTATACACATACACATATATATGTTATCAAATTAGTGATAAGAAGAGGCACAGATTATTGGTAAATATCTTTTAAAACAATGGGACATACAGGCCCCTGAAATAATATTATGGATGATCAGCTTTGAAGGATTGTAATGTTTATTCTAGTCAAGAGTCAAATTTGGTATAAATGAAGTGACAGATTTTGTTTTTTGTTTCACTCATGGTATTGATTWGCTTTTTTTGGTTTGCTCTTGTTTTCTGTAAGAAATGTATAAATGATTTATCCAGATGCTGATGTCCACTGGTAATCTATGCTCACAGCAGGGGAGATTGGGAAAGTGCTGTCTCTCTCCTGAGGCAACATGAATATTAACACCCTCCTCTGACACTCCCTAGCTTGCACAGTGGTATTCAAAGCATGCTTTGAGAGCTACTGGTATTTACACCAGGCTCCAAGTTTGGTGGTCTCTTAATCTGGATCCATAGTTCAAGACCTTTCTGACATTCAAGTTGAAGTTTGAAATCATTTGTTGTAACCAGGTGAAACACAGACACAACAATAATAAATATGTCACACCGTAAGCCAACTGTTTGCCAGGCACATGCATGGAGTGTCTAATCCTCACAMGATTCCTCTAAGGTGGCCCTCTTTATTTTCATTTTAGATTTGGGAAAACTTGGGATTCCAATAGGTTTCGTGAACAGGTGTGAACTCCTTATTCCCAATGCATCACAAATCACAATGACAGTGACACTCTACAGTACCTGTCTGTGCCTCCACTGAAAAGTAGGGCTGTCCTTCAAGGATACTGTACACTAATTTAGCACTGTTTCCATAGGTGGGATCATCTGCATCAGAAGCTGTCACCTGGATTACTGATGTTCCTGAAAAGGGGAATAAATTAATTAGAAATGTCCCTTGACTTTTCAAATTACGTTCTTGTTTACAAAGTTTTACTTTAAAATGAAACTCAGAGGAGGGCCTCACAATCAGTCAACAGATTCTCCATTTCCTGGAGTTGAGATGCAAAGTGATCTTTATTTTTTTCCTTTCTTCCTTCTCTCTTTCTTTCCTGTTCCTTTTAATTGCATGGTTTAAAACAAAACTTTCTATATTCCTATTACATTCCGCTATGCTTAGTAGTTAAAATAATAATATGAACATCATTGCCCAAACATTCTAAGACTCATGCAATTGAAATGCTCAGTATATCAAATAATTAAATAAAAATCTCCCCAAAGAGCATAATAAATGAAAATTAATGATGAATTGCGTTTCATGAAAGGACAGAGTGCAGCCTTCCATCTGTAGCCTGGCAATAAATATATCATTTATTGTAGCCTTGCATGTAATAAAATTGCGGCTAATACTACATTTTAATTAATTTATGGCTATAAATATTGTGCAGAATGTTGTTCCCTACTGACATGAAAACAGCATCTTTCCACCTCTAATCAGCCTAGCAACCACATGACAGGCACCTAGTGTGATCTGAGGCATGCATTCATGGGTCCCAAAGAGGATAAACCAGTGAACTGTTCTTTGCTGCTCACAAGGACCAAATATCTGGGGTATGGCACACTGGAGAGAGGAAAGAGGAGCTGGAAGTAGAAAATTGTCAATTTCCCAACCTCTCTGCACCAGGACCATTTGGGACTCATTCCATGTATTCTGCCAGAATTCCTCTGTTGGGTGTTTTTTATATCCATTTTACTTGTGGGACATTTGAGTGAGAGGTATGATGTTTTGCAATCTCTTTCGCAAATGGTTTATGGCCAGAGTCAGGAGTCTAGCCCCAATTCAGCAAGCAAAGAAAACAGCTGGTTCCTTCCGGACATTTTCATCAGAGAAGAAGGATCTGTGTGGGAGGCCAGGAGGCCCAAAGACATTGTTTCTAACTGTTCTAACTTTACAGTGTTGTTGGGGACTTTCATCTCCTGTCCAAGTAAATCTCACTCTTTTCTGGTGACCTCCCATAATTCATTGTTTATGCAAATGGTCTTTTTTGAACTCTTCCCAAGTTCAAATCTCCAAMGGAGACTTTACAAAGGAGAAAAGGAACATATCACAGCTAAGTAAATTACTAATTTTCATGATTAATTTATTTCTAAAACTCTTGCTAAGTGCTTTTCAACTCTTTGTATTTTAAATCCATTTTACTTAACCTTATTTTATGGATGATGAAATGCAAACTTAGAAAGGTATGAGAAGTTGCCTGGGTTCATGTGGCTGGTCAGAGGTACAGCGAGGATTGTGTCCCAGTACTGTCTGACACCCAGGACTCCACTTTTATATGCCATTGTGGAGAATCTGGGTGCTATACCAAAGCATCCAGGACCATAATACTGAGAACAATAAAAATTCCTGTGGGTTATCCTTTTAGATAGCTAGCTTTCCCATACCACCTCTCCGCTGTCCTYGCCGAAGCTCTGTTCCTGACTCTGCCATCCCCTATTTATACAGATTTAGTTAATGTCTATTATTTCTCAGTAGAATCCAGACCTACATATTGAGAAAGTTAAAAAAAAAATCCTCTGTGGGAAGTGGGAAGGGAAAAGGTTGTAAAATGGCTTGATCTGATTTCACAAAGTATGAGAAGAGCTTGAATTTACTTGGAAGAGGAAGGAGGATCCAAGAGGCTCCCATATGAAGAGTGGGAGGGCCTCTGGGCTGTCAGGAAACATCTAACATTCTTGAGTCGGCTGACCCCCATACTTAGGACTTGGTTTGCTCATTCATCAAAATGGACTGTTTGATGCTGATGGTGCCTACATTCRTTTGAGCTCATGTGATCACATGTACCCCTGATCAGAACAGGCCTGCCYACTGTGTGAAAGACAGACCTTTTCTCATCTGAGGTTTGTTTGTCAAAAGACTTCAATTGCATGTGTGCTAGGAAGCCAAACGGAAGTTATCACCAGAAGGTGGCCAGATGAAGAATGCCTTCAGAGTCCTACCACTTAGCAATGCAGTGTGCCTTCAAACACACTGGAATGACACACCTACTTCTAAATCCACAGGTATCATAATGTGGTGAAGTGTAGTGAACTGTGCATTCTGGATCCACTTAATCATGCAGATGGCCCTGGGTAAATTAGTTAACCTACTTCTGCCTTGTGTTTCTAATCTATAAAATAGAGGCAGCTGGACCTGGTACATTGCAAATAAATAATTATGTAATCACATAAAAATTTTAAATAAAGCTGGGCACGGTGGTGCACACCTATAATGCCAACAAATCGGAAGGCTGAGGCAAGGGGATCACAAGTTTGAGGACAGCCACAGCAACCTGACAAGACCCTAAGCAACTTAGTGAGATCCTGTCTCAAAACAAAAAAAAAAATTAAAAGGGTTGAGATGTGGCTTAGTGTTTAAATGCCCCTGGGTTCAATCTCCACTATACCCACCCTGAAAAAAAAATTAGATAAAATATTATTAGATGGTCTCCATCCAACAAAGACTACCAATACTATTATATACTGAACACCAACCAATATGGCCCATTCCTATTTCACAGAAGAGAAAATGAAGGATAAGAGACTAGATATAATTGATTCTGATTCATACACCTGAGAATACAAAGGTCAGAATTACCCAGACTCAATTTCATTCTTCCCTCTTCTTTGTCCTTTAAAAAAACTTAAGCTCTAATACCTCAAATCCATTTGAACTTCCCACTACACCAGTGAAAAATTGGGGTTTGTTATTTTTCCACAAAAGATACAGCACAAGGTCTACTTCCTGACTGGGGAGGACAGGCACCAAACTGGCCACTTGCAGGGACACCAGGTAAGAAAGTGGAGCAGTTCTTCCCCACTTACGCACCCACATTGGACCTCTCAGGCACATTGGCATGATAGGTCTCATGCAGAAACTCCGGAGGGTTGTCATTAATGTCCTGGACCTTGACGATGAATTCCGATGGTGGTTCCAGTGGCCGGTTGGTGTCCCTGTCCACTGCCTGAGCCATCAGTGTGTACTGGGCTCTCTCCTCTCGGTCCAAAGTCTTGGTGGCATGAATGTTCCCTGATTTGTCATCAATCACAAAAATGGTTCCGGCTCCTTCACCTGAGAGAATGTATTTAATGTTCCCATCACCAGAGTCAATATCGGAATGAAGCTAGGAAAAGAGAAATGGAGATTTGTAATTTCACAAGTGATGGAGCAGGGAGAAAGTGACCCACGCTGATTGCTACAATCTCTGCACACACATATGTGCATGTGCACACATACACACATCATAAGAGTTCACCCTTATTTTACAAATGAAGAGACAGAATCTTAAGGAAGATCTTTGCCTTGGCCAAGGTCACAAAACTGAGGAACAACCAGGCCAAGGTTCAAACGTTTTTTTTCTTTTTTATTCTAAGACTCATTCTCTTCTTTCCTTCTTTCCATACACATACACACATACAAAATATACACACATACACATATATCATAATATTCATTTTGAAAGAAATGCATCATATTTTTAAAATGCATTTATGCAATTATAAGCCTTTCTCTCATTTCTGGATCCTTCTCCTTCATCTTCTCTGCTCACAAGTCATCATTGTTATTAGATTYATGTGCATCCTCTGGAAGATAGTCTCATCTTCACTCACATGTGTCCTAGCTTACTTTTACCCAATAAAGGTCATAGCACACACTTCATTCCTCGCCTTGCCATTTTCCTCTAACAGCAAATTCAGGTGCCCTTCCGTGTGGATATATCTAGGTCTACCACACCCACAGTGTGCATATTATTATCATCTCTTTTGGCCCTCCTCTTCAAGGGACCTTTGGGGTGTGTCTAGGATTTTGTTACCTCTAACAATTCAACTGATCAGATCTCTGCAGAATCACTGTTGTGCAGCACTCTGATATGCAGACATATCTGGGGATATGTCTTCATAGAAGGAAATTCCATTCTGACCACAGAGGATGGTCAAGGGGGATGGGGTAATACATGTGCAATTCCATAGACCCTAGAAACAACCTTAAAATCCTTGAGGTTTCTCCCTCTGGACAAAGCCTAGAGACAAGGTGAAACCTTCCTAAATCCATACTTGCCAGGCTAAGAAATCACCCAGGTTCCTTGACTACCAGCCCTGTATCTTTTGACCTTGAGTCAGCCCTGCTTTGGAACATGAACTACCTCCAAAGACCTCCTCTGATTTTCCTGTGCAATGAACTCTCCACACTTTGTTGTTCCATTTCAGTTTCGGAAGGCTTCATCCTAATTTGAGTTGTTTGACCCTCATGATGCTCTTTGTGGGAAAAGAGAAGCATTATTTTTCCTGTTCTCACAGGCTTCCACAGTAGGCAAGTGAACAAGAAGCCCTTGATTCTCCCTGCTACATAAGAAAACCCATAGCAAGCTGAAATGTTTTATCCAAATGACATTTACAATAATAAAAATAATAATTGTTATTACTAATTATATTTAATATTAACAATGTTAATAGTATTATGAATRCTAATGGATTATTATTATTACTACTCTAATTTTAATTATGACTATGAAACACAAAGCATAGAGAGTCGGCCCCGTCACAAAGCAAGATTGAACATGAAGCTTTTTAAAATTTCCATATTATTTCAGTTTCCCCAAAGGTACCTAATGGATTCGTGGTGTTTCAAATACACCAAATATTTCACTTCATAGGAATACATGTGGGTACATATTTCAAAGGTCATGATGTTTTTAGACCATATGATGTCTTGGGGAAAAAAAAATAAAACTTTACTTCAGAATTCCTTATTCACCACGAGCTGTGTGTTGTTGTGAAATCGTGGCTGACACACTTTCAAAGAACAAGACCATTTGTGAATAACATAGGAAGTTATTTGATGGTCTATAACGGATGGACAGAATTGCTCCAATCTTCATACATTTTCCCCTAAGGTCCCTCCCTCCCGGGCCCCCAGCCCTTCCCAGGGTGGTGGGGTGTGTTCCTCTGTATTCTCTGCTTCAGAATTGTCAAAAGTTAGGGGATCTGTCCTGTGGCTGAAGAATGAGGAAACAAGTCAAAGTGGCCAGTGACTGAAAGTTTGTGGAGGTCTTCCTATAGGACATATGAATCTGACACCTTCCTTAGGAATTAAACCAAGAAATTTCATGAGCAGCCAAAGAACTGAAAATTTTATAGAATACACTCTTCCTTGAGTTTTATTTTTTTTTTCTACTTTGTTTTCAGATTTGCAAGTCAGATATGAATTCCCTTTCTCTCTTACAAAGAGGAGTTCCAGGACTGACAATGGTATTTATCAGGCTTCACAAAGAAACCAGTTTGGGCAATGAGTGGACGCTGTCAAGGGATCAGTTGCTGTGCCATACACAGCCAAGTCCTGACTCCAAGAAGGACGGTCTCCCTCCTCAGCACGGCACAGCATGACGCAGACTGCATTTCCTACAAGACATCTGAAACTTTATGGTTTGCCAAATTTGACTTTTTCAGGGAATCTTGAAGCATTCAACCATGAATGTCGTCAAATCAAAGGTTGTTGCAGAACAAGTCAGCTTCTCGATTGCTCTGATTTATGGGGAACTAGCCCAGCACCATTTCAAAAGGAAAATTCATATGATGCAGCCAGTTTTTCCCCGCCCACATCCATTCTGACATGAGGTTCATGCTCAGGTGTGAGCTGCGGGCACACTTTGACTCCCCCTTTTTCCTATGTTCCCTTCTAGTAGCCATGATCATGGCTGGGTCCACAAAGATGATGACATGGCTCCCCAGATCCTGCCCTCTGTGTAGCCCTCCCACTGTAACACATCATGGATCCCCAGTGTGAAAGCCCCACAGCAGCAGGTTCTATCTTTGCGGAACTATTCACATGGAACTCTCCACATGGCTCAGGCTACATAACCTCTGCCTCAGCTGAAGTCTCAGAGACTGTCTCTTCTACTTAATAGAATTTCCACCTCCTGGGGCTATATCCACAGCTTTTCATTTGGGGTACAAATGGGTAAAATTCCTTTGGTACATTTTTTTTTTCAAAAACATGTTCCCAACCCCTAAGCAATATTACGGAGGCTTCCTAATCCCCTCCAAGTATGCCAATGATATAGATAGGAAGTGTTTTCCTTATGTTAAGGAACAGTCAAGATAACCTTGTTGGAATCCAATGGGTTCAAAAATGCCCCAGACCTCTGCCCTTGCCTTTTTCCCCCTTTGTTGAGTAACTTCTGCTGGYCTTTTAGATCCTAAGTTGTCCTTTTATTGAATTTCATCCATCCTCCTTCTCATTTTAGTTTTTCTCTTTTGACTGCTGAAGAGACTGTGTCTTTCCCCCTACACTCCAAACTCTTTCAAGCCAGGAATTATTTTTTCACCTGGTTTAACACATGCCTAGCACTACACCTACACATAGTAGGATTTCACTTCTGATGCTTATAAATAACAATCTCCTTGTCATTCATATCACTATCATCTGAAAAATACCTGCGTATTTTACCATAAATGAGAGTGGCAAGTCAGTTTCCCAAATATGTTTTGGGCCCTCTACCCTTAAAGCTTTTTTGGTAATGCTACACAAAACAGGCAGAACCTGAGTAAGGCTAGGAATCTGAAACCATCTCCCAGGGGATTTCCCATCCCTACAGCAACAGGGATAAAATTATGCCCATCCTGTGATACCCCCTTCACTGATCTCTTCAAAGTCGGGCTTAGAACCAGAACCCGGAGACACAAGCACAACCCTTTGTCTGATGCAAAGTACCTTGGGGTTTAGTGAGAAAGAGAGCAACGTACAGATAGGTATAATACAGCAAAGCAAGGYATGATAAAAAGCACAAAGAGAGTTACAAAAATACAAAGGAAAGGTAGCCGAGTTGGGGGAAGAACGTCATCAAGGAAATGCCCCCCAGTTGGAGGGTGATTAAATAAAATATGATCAGTTCCATTACAGTAGACTATGAAGCAGCCTTGAGAAAAAAAAAAATGATGGTATGGCATTAAGTGGGAAACACGTGTAAGTTTATATCTTGGGGAAAGACTGAGAGGATGTGTGTGCATGATGTTGGGTTTTCACTGATGTCAGATCCTGTGTGTTTTCCCTATTTGTTTTTTGATTTCTATTGTCCATATGGTATTGTTCCCATGGGGGAGGGAAACAGGTAAATGTCACATGAAAGTCAGCTTACCCTGCCCACGAGCACAGGATCAGGCCCGGTGTACTCCTCTATCACAAAGAACTGGTTCCAGACCCAGCCTCGTTTGGAGCGCTGCAGCACCTGCCCCTCCTTGCCCTTCTCATGATGTCCATAGAACGAGGGCCGCAGGTGGCTTCGTCGCTCCAGAGCAAATGCCTGGCTGTGGCACAGCATGCTCAGGCACACCAGCGCGGCTTGTAAACAGTAGTTCTCCTTCATTTTTGGTTATGTGGTAGGCACAGGAGAATGCAGCTGTCACCCTTCCGCCAGCCCAGCCGAGTGGTATGCCTTTCCTATGGTCAGTCTCCGGGGTACGTCAAGCAGACCTCTCCTGGAACGGAAGGTCTTCGCTCTCTGAGCACATCACGTCAGGGCTGCCCACTTCCCCAGGCGGCTTCTGCAAGCAAAGAGAGGTTTGATTAGCTGCAGGCTTCGCCCTCACCTCATTTCATTTCCATTTAGTAAACAGTTAGGTTTGAGTGTCAGTCTTACCAYTTGTCAGCCTAGGGAAAGTTAATTGATTTCTTCTGAGTTCAGCTCGCTCATTTATGAAACGGGGATAAGAATCCTACTCATTGCAAGGTTGTCACAGGGATTAAATGAGTAATACACATAAAGTCTCTTAGCACAATACCTGGTTCACGGTATTTATCTGTTAGTGTAATTGATTGTGCATGTGTTTGGTTAAGTTCTTGTAATAGATCAACTTGGAGTATTATGAAAACCCAGGAGAGGAACAGAGAATCCAAAGTAGAGATGGCAGAGACTACGGCAGTTAAGGCAGATTATCTAGAGGGTGGAATGGATGAGCAACARAAAGGGAAAGGATGGGATATGTTATGGTTTGGATGTAAGGTATCCCCACAACAGCTCACGTGTGAGACAACGCAAGAAGGTTCAGAGGAGAAATGACTGGGTTATGAGGTTAAGAGTTGGGTCATTGGGGCAGGACATTGCTATATATTTTGTATCTGGTGAGGGTAGATCTCTTCGCTTCCCTGTGCCACACTCTTCTGCCATGATGTTCAGCCTCACCTTGAGCCCTGAGGAATGGAGTCTGCTATATATATAGATTAAGACCTMTGAAACAGTAAGTCTCCAAATAAACTTTTCCTTCTCTACAATTGTTCTGGTCGGGTCTTTTGYTCACAGTGTCGAAAAAAGCTGACTAAAACAGGATACCTGACAGAAGGACTGGCATGACCCTAACCCTACAGGTARTGAAAGGCACAACATATTCCAAGACTTTAGCATGACTGGAAACTGTAAGGAAAGCAGGCAATGGAGCATGATAGAGACGAGAGGTCAGGTCCGATCCCAAGGATGATGGGCAGTAATTGTGGAAGGTAATTAGACTTGAAGATCAGATAGGCCTGAATTGAAATACCACTTCTAGATCTTATGAGTGACCTTGGACATGTCAATCAGTTACTATGAGCCCCTGGGGTCTCCTGTGAATGACAAGGAGGACGAGAACTTTTGCACCCACATAAGACTGAAGACCGAGTGGAAAACTGACACATGTTGGCTTGCTTCCACTTTTCCTAGAGGGCCACAATCTAAGCCTGCAGATCTCCCTCGCTTTAGGGGTGAGTGCAGATGAAGGTGCCCAGAAGAGGTGCTTTCTCTAAGGGAGAAAATTGAAGAACAGGAATAACTCAGGATACCATAGCGATTTGGCCTTGGTAGTCTAAGAACTAAAGGAATTAGAGGAATTCCAACTTGTTCTAATTCCTTCCCYTCTGATGGTCTTTGACTCTGCCAAGCAATATGGCAAAATGATATTTGGGGAACTTACAAATACAAGATAATTTCAGGAGTCCAATCATTGTTCTCAACAACACTTGTGATGGTAGCATGATAGTTACTTCTCAAATAATAGAAAGTGTAATATTCAAAATTTGTGATATGTGGGCACTTGGGTGCAGGTCAAAAATGAAGTGTTTGCCATTTAACAGTTTCAACCTTAAATGCAGCATTTTAATAAGACACTAAATGTTTTTTTTTATATAGCAAGCCAACCAGACAATGTTGGAAAGAGCACAGAGAAGCCCCAGGAGTGGTGAGATCCCAAAATGAGGCAAATAGGAAGCAACAGGAAGGTCTCYGGGATTACATGGTGAAGAGTGAGATTGGGTGGGAATCTGCCCCAGCTTATCATGGAACCTCATCATTTTCCCTTTTGTGACAATCTGCTTCATTCTCAGCAAAGTGAAGCCCTTGATTGAAATTCTCTATACAGGCCTCCATCTTCATATTTGTGGTTGGAGCTCTGGTGAGAGATGGTGGGGGCCAATTTTACTATGTCTTTACTAGACTGGAAATCAGCCTCTTAATAGTTGAGTTTATATCTTATTTGATATATACCTGGGATCTGAGCTCAAAGCAGTCCATCCACAAAATTCGAACATACGATTTAAACCACRTACTTCAAGTTCAAAATTAATATTGCCTCTATAGAAACTCAAGAAGCAAGAGAAAAGGCAGCACATATGGTGCTGTGAGATCCCTGCCCACTTTGTACCATGCCAAGTATTAAACGTTCATTCACATGGTGATAAATTATTCTTGCATATAAACTGTGAAGTGTATTTGAAAGAAAGGGTTTAATTAAAGTCGATATTTCTGCACCTCTCTMTTCTGGCTGCCATTTTGCTGTAAAGTACAATTATTTCTGACACCAAAGTGTGGAAACTAGATGACAACTTTTTTCCCCCTTTTTAAGAAAAACAATCTAGCTTAATGTTAATGTGTTTAAGAGTTTCCATATGACCAATAAATAATCAACCTTACSCTTTGTTAGACGGTAAAACTGTCTRCTTATTTCTGTTGGAAAAGACAGTGAAATCAACTTGCTTGTGAATGTCATTGTCCAAATTCATTATGTTAAGTGCTCAGATGACTATGCAATATATAAAAATTTTTAATGATTCCTCTAGCTTTGTATAAGATGGGTTTTTATCACTTTTTGTTTATTCACTTTGAGAAGGAAAATCTATTTACAAAAGTATTTTTCTAACCATTATTCTAAAAGCTTTACAAATATTAATGTGTCTGTTGATTTCTATAGTAATCTTGTAAATGGACATGCTTCTTGTTTGAAGGGAGAAGGAAACTGAGGTCCAGATTAAAAAAAAAAAAAGAAAAAGAAATTTGTGGGGCTGGGGATGTGGCTCAAGCGGTAGCGCGCTCGTCTGGCATGTGTGCGCCTGGGTTCAATCCTCAGCACCACATACAAACAAAGATGATGTGTCTGCCGGAAACTAAAAAATAAATATTAAAAAATTCTCTCTCTCTCTCTCTCTCTCTCTCTCTCTCTCTCTCTCTATCTCTATCTCTCTCTAAAAAAAAAAAAGAAAAGAAAGAAATTTGTGCTAGGTTAGGCTTCTGGTAAGAGGTGAACTGGGATTTGAACCCATGCCATCTGGGTCTAGTTAGTCTGTTGCTAATCAGCGAATTAATATCTCTTTCCATTTCTTTTGTATTTCATAAGGAAATTATATGGACACTGTAATAAAAATGATAACCTAGCAGCCACCTGAATATGGGAAGTAAGCCAGTAATTGGGTGTACACCAATAATAATATTATAATGAAAATATTGAAAAATAGATAACATTTCTCAGGTGCTATCTGCTCAATGTTCTTGCAAGGGATTTCCATGAATTGAGTCACCCAATCATTCCAACAACTCTACAAAGCAGTACAAATGTCATTCCTATTTACAAATAAGTAGTCTGAGGTGCACCAAGAAAAACTAACTCACCCCAGGTTACAGAGCTAAGAAGGAGGGGAGCTGAGATTGAACCCCCTGCATTTTGCCCAAGTACTTACATTCCTATCCCTATGATTCTACCTGTCATGCCTGTTTGAGAAAAGACTGAGGATCAGATGTAGAAACACAACCCCAGAAACACACAATAGACCGACCATGACAATAATTTCAGTTACAGGAGCAGGAAGGCTTGGGGTAGGCTATGACAAAAATTATGAATTAAACCCAAAAGAAAAAAAGAGAAAGCATTTCATAGCAAGACCAAAGAGGAACAGGAAGTAATTATATCAGCCCACCCACACAGATGTACACCCACGCCTTAATGAATTCATAGTGCACAAAAGTTAAGCTTTGTTTTTTAATATTTTTTCATGTTTCAGAATTTCTACATTTACAGGTTAAATATGAATATATAAGTTAAAATGTACTCAAGAATCCTTTCTTTAGGTTTTGTTTTTCTGTTCTTTTTTTTTTTTTTAAAGGAAATATTTCTAGAATCTGGAGAAGTGATTGATGTATTCAGTGGTAGAAACTTTGCAGGAATCTCGCATGAAAATTAATAGGAGACCTCCCTCCTAAGAAGACCTTGATGTTGGTAATAATTAGGAAAATATATCAGTGTTCTAATTAGCTTTCATAAAGACCCCCARGGAAGTTCTTGAACAATCTTTCCATTAAAGCACTTTCCATAATGCCTAAGCATTGGGGTTCCTCTAAACCATATAGGAGGGCTTTATTTTATGAAGGGAGCATATTGCTTGGAGGGAAAAAATAAATGTTGAAAGTCACAGGAGTAATAACATGACAGGAAAATGGATTTGCAAAACCACCAGCCCTAGATGGAAAGCTCTCCCCTCTATCTTGAGAGCAGATAGCCCGTTATAAGCTACTGCGCCCTGAGCATAAAACTCTCTTGCTGTGCCTGCTTTTGTCTCTGTAAAAGAAAATGACATATACGGGTGTTTAAGTATATTTGGACTCCTGCTGGAAATTGTTACGGGGTAGAGAAGGAAAGACGAAAGCACTTAACAAAAAGAAACGGATTTGAAATTTCAGCTCTCTCCTCCCTACAGAGCTGGAAGGATCAAAGAAGACGGACCCATTCTTTTTATTTCCAGGTAGCTAAAGACAGGTTATCATTAATGAAGGATATTACCAAGGCCCGCACTAGAATCACAATCCATTCTGTATGGGTAAAGTCCCCTTGTTGGTGAGCTCAGGAGCTCTGATCTCCCCTTCAACAAACACAGCTTTGTAACCAATTTGATTCTATTATGCAAATTAATTCAAGCATATTTTATTCCCCATTTTGATCTCATCATTYAGCACTGAGCTGGTCTCTGGTTTCAAATCAAATCACAGGAATTATGTTTCGTCTGTGAAAAATCACTGAGGAAGAGAAGAGGAAGTATTACAAGAATTATCGAATCAYGGGTCTTCTTCCCTGATTTCTGCACTGGCACGAACTCCAGGCAATCACTTCTTTTCAGGTGCAAAATATACAGTGTAGACTAYAAAAGGATTATGGTGTACATTACTCCACAATAATACCAAATTCCAATGTTATGTATGCAGAAAAATAGCCCCTTGTTAATGACCAACGAGTTCTCAAAAGATGAATGG